TAGTTTACACATTTGACATATATATTTATCATGACAAAATACTCTTTGTGATCTTACAGTTGCACTAATTCCAAACTGACACTATCAAAATTAATGTTTTTAATATCCTGCAATTCATTGCTACATTTAACACGTAACCATTCCGCCTGAGCACCTAGTTTGCAGGTACAATATTGTGGACACGTTTGTACTGTTTTTCCTCTTGCTTGGGTTAAAATTAAAAACACAAGTGCAGTTCTCATCATTATGGAAGACTTTTACCTATATAATAATAGAACCAATTTAAAAGATTAATATAAAATCATGAGCATCAAATTGTTTGTACACAATACGTTTACAAAGTAGTATTTTTAACATCAAAAAACAAATATATTGAGCGGAGTAATTATAACTTCTTTTGTTTACACAGTGCAGGCTACACTATCAACAAATACATAATTTTCACTCATAAATAACTATTTATCTCATAAAAGAACAAAGATAAAGTAAATAATTTTTGTTAAAGTGTACAAAATACAGTTATAAATCGAAAGTTACTTACAACATTCACGATCACGATAACAATTGTATTTGTCACATCCTTGTATTGTCAAACTTTACAGGTTTTTCTCACATATTGTCCGAAACTGTTTGCAAACATTCATTGTAAATGATCACAGGAACACGAAAGTATTGTCAGAATAAGTACCGGGATCTCTATGAATTACTATCGGCTACATATGCAGAAAACTTTCGATACCAGCTCTGTCTTTCGACAGATTTGAAGCAAGCTATGTTGCGTGGGTTTTTGGGGATATTATACAGTTCGTTCACGTTAAAGATATATGTATATACATACATACATACACTATACACGGTTGAACACAACACAGAACACAATACAGCACGTACAATGTATGTACATACATATGTACATCTACTCTTTTATATATTCCACTGTTTCTCTTTGAAAGCACTGGACCACACTGGACAGTACGTATGTATCACATTCCCATCTATAATATATGGTTTCATGGTGCAGATTGCAGCGACACATATGTACATAATATCGTTCTGAAATTAATCTTACTGTTGGTACCAAAAGGGTTACACCTAGGGATTTTACCACAAGAGACGTCCTATGATTGTCCCACATTTCATTGAACAATGTATAAAAAATAGTATGTAAACAAAATTTAACTTATGTCGCAATGCTTGATGTCCTACTTTTATTATCGCTCCTATATTCCGTACAGAACACGTTGACTCTAACTCCCAGGTGTTGAATTGTTATATGAATGAGCGTACAAAGGGGAACCCCGTATTAATAGGGATATTTGTTCATTCTCGAAGTAGAATATTTGATCATTCTTCGAGCGAAATAGTAGTTCTAAAACTAATTCATGATGTACAATACAAACTTGTGTACGCATTCGCATATAAAGACAAAGGTTTATTTTTACTACAATGTTGCTGCTACATGTACGAAAAATGTACAAGTCCATCTTTGTTTCTGCAAAAAGCAATCGAAGAATGGCTTTCTTTATTCTAGAACGTATTTCAAATGAATAGAAAATAAGGACCTTTATTGTATAAGAAAAAATAGAAAACAAACTTTTATTTTATCGGATTAAATATTCATGTATTCCTTAAAATTTCAAACGGTAGATTTCGATCGCCAGTTGAGATTATCAATTAAAGTAGTCATCTTCTTTTAACAGGATGTTATCTTGTAAAAATTGGTAACGGAACGGGTTCGAGAACTAGTTCCCGACTCTGTCCACAATTTAAATATCCTGGGGTTGTATACGGTCCAAAGTCTTCCTCTACGAAACCTAGGGCATCTTCGACAGATTTCCCTCAAGTAAAAAAAAGTTACGAATGCCTTGATAGAGGAATTAAATTAAACGCAGAAAATAATGATTCAAATGAATTTTTTAATTATATACTTATTGAAAATTCTCAACCTATTCGATGAGGAGGATGGCAGCGGTTTAATGACCAGCGGAGAATCTTTAAAAGATTTCTCTTTTGTATTTATTCGTATGACATTTTCTCATACAAATTTTCAAAACCACGCTCGTACAAAGGAGAAAAATAAATTGGCAACAATTGCGATCGATCGCAACTTGCCCCGCTCTCCTCGTGAAAGTTTGGCTGGACTGGATAGTTCGTACCTCGCGAACATTCTAATATTTCCGTATTCTGAGTTATTTGTTATGACAATTGCGATTGTTGAAACTGTTGTTATTCTAAAAACCGCTCTCTTCCGGTGAACATCATTAGTGAAACACAAAGTTAAGGCCCCATAATACCACAGACTGGTAGCAAAATAATGTGAATGTTAAACTTATACGATTATGATAACAATTCGAAGCAGGAATTTTTCTTAAAATCTTTCTACAATTTCTTTTACACACAATGTAATTTAGTACGCGTCTAATATTTGTGGAGCTATTCCCATCTTTTCTTAAAACAGTTCGAACGGTTTTTCTCTATTTTGTTTAAATTCGCGCTTTTCATTATCATATCAGCTACACTCAAGAAGAGAGATAACTGACAATTCTCAGAACACCTATTTTTCTTAACAATACTCATGATTATGCGATTTTAAATGTTACTTGATTGTTGTATACTACAATTTATAGGTACATCAATAAATTAGTGTGCATGTTAGTGTCAACATAGTGTAGCAGAATCGAAGAAGAAAGTTTAGATGTTATTCAGCCTTCAGACATGATTGTAGACAGTTAACACAAAAATAAAAGTTAATAATGGGCCACAGAGTGGGGTACATAAGGGTGTTTTCTGATAAGTGGACTGTATAAGACCGCACAGCACTTACCCCAAATCAATGATAAGGACATTGCTCCGTATTTTTTTATACTAAAATTTCTAATATGCAATTACGATCTCTTAAAATCGTTACAATTTGGATGAGTGTGCGCCCTTTCTAGGTATATTGCTAAAGGGCTTCAGTAATGGATGCAATGACTGACTAATTCTAAATCCCATAATGTCATCTATCTTCTTGTAATCGAAAGATTCTACTATTGAATTATCCAAATCGGTACTTTTGCTTGCGTCCTTTTCTGTTGTATCTTGATCTCCTATAGTTGAAACTATGTGTACCGACAATTTATGCTGCATATTACGTTGGAGCATGTTCTACAAATAATGTTTATTTTAAATTAATATAATTTGTATTAATATTGAAGTGTATAACACAATTTTGATATATACCTTGTAGAATTTTAGTATATCTGCCTTTTCTATTGTTTTCAAATATGCAACCTCAATATTCACTCGGTCAAAATGATACTGTTGTGATGAAATTTCATTGTAAAAGATATTAGTTAAAGTATTCAGTAATTTTGGCTTTTCTAGACGTTTTACTGCCAATGACTCTTTGTGTCTGTTAAATTCTTCATCTGACATATTTGTTATGGTTTCCTAAAGTTATTTTTTAAATTGTTATATAAGAGTGTGTTGATAATTGATGCGCATGGTAATATTCAAACTATTATCATTAAATTATTAACAATAGTTAAAAATTGATGAGATAAAACGGAAAAAGTAATTATAGTAATGTATGTTCATTTGATACACAACATTGAGAAAATTTGATGATTAGAGAAATTTTAGACAAAATAAAATTCCAGGATCTCTAGTGTAAAGAAGATTAAAAATAGTTTTACTAACCAGCATAGAGTGTAAAAATGCATCAATTCTTTGTTCAACATACTTTGGATGCTTGTCACTTTGAACTAATATCATTAAACCTTGTACACTGTCTGTCCTTCGCACATTACTAAATAGAATGTACCCCAATTGCTCCTTAGTTCTTAACGTGGTAAAACATGGTTCTGAGATAATTTGTGCCAAGAGCTCAAGTAACATATTTGATTCTGTTGATTGTAATCCAGTTTGATAATAAACGTGTACACACGAACTTTTATGAAATGTATTTTCTATTTCAAACAAGAAATTGCAACCTAAAAATAAAAAAAAAAACAGGAACATTATTTTTTGTAAAATAAAACAATTAAATAATTACAATGAAATGATGAACAAGTTTGCAAAACACATTCCTTCTCTCTTAACTTACCATCTTCCAATCTAATTTCACGATTCAAAATCATATGCCTGGACAAGAGTGGTATTCTCTGAGGAACTGAATTTGCTAATTTTGATTCTATTAACTTAGCTGTCTCAAGAGCCTCTGATTTTGTAACATTGCCATGAATTAAACATTCCACATGTACTTTACTTAAAAATTGTGGAATAAATTCTTGCATCCTTTCCACTGTTAAATCTATATAGTAATATAATATTTTTAAAAATCCGTTTTCCTAAATAGACCACGAATTAAATTCATAATTTTCACAATTATTTCATTATCCAATACTCACATGAAGTTGCTTTTAATAATTCGTCCTTCATCCAAACCTGTTCTGATAACAAAACAGTAAGATAATAACATGCACGAGCATATGGTGGATCAGCATAAGAGTTTTTTAGACTTCTGACATACTGAAATTTGTAAACATTTAAGTGAATATAAGT